TTCAGTATATGTTTGATGATTTCATACTTCAGTAATATGTTTGATGGTTTCATATTTCAGTATATGTTTGATGGTTTCATACTTCAGTATATGTTAGATGGTTTCATACTTCAGTATATGTTTGTGGTTTCATACTTCAGTATATGTTTGATGTTTTCATACTTCAGTATATGTTTGATGGTTTCATATTTCAGTATATGTTTGATGGTTTCATATTTCAGTATATGTTAGATGGTTTCATATTTCAGTATATGTTTGATGTTTTCATACTTCAGTATATGTTGATGGTTTCATATTTCAGTGTATGTTTGATGTTTCATACTTCAGTATATGTTTGATGGTTTCATATTTCAGTATATTGTTTGATGGTTTCATACTTCAGTATATGTTAGATGGTTTCATACTTCAGTATATGTTTGATGGTTTCATACTTCAGTATATGTTTTGATGTTTTCATACTTCAGTGTATGTTTTGATGGTTTCATACTTCAGTATATGTTAGATGGTTTCATACTTCAGTATATGTTTGATGGTTTCATACTTCAGTATATGTTTGATGTTTTCATACTTCAGTGTATGTTTGATGATTTTCATACTTCAGTATATGTTTGATGGTTTCATATTTCAGTATATGTTTGATGGTTTCATACTTCAGTATATGTTAGATGGTTTTCATACTTCAGTATATGTTTGATGGTTTCATACTTCAGTATATGTTTGATGGTTTCATATTTCAGTGTATGTTTGATGGTTTCATACTTCAGTATATGTTTGATGGTTTCATATTTCAGTATATGTTTGATGGTTTTCATACTTCAGTGTATGTTTGATGGTTTCATACTTCAGTATATGTTTGATGGTTTCATATTTCAGTGTATGTTTGATGGTTTCATACTTTCAGTATATGTTTGATGATTTCATACTTCAGTATATGTTTGATGGTTTCATATTTCAGTATATGTTTGATGGTTTCATACTTCAGTATATGTTAGATGGTTTCATACTTCAGTATATGTTTGATGGTTTCATACTTCAGTATATGTTTGATGTTTTCATACTTCAGTGTATGTTTGATGGTTTCAATACTTCAGTGTATGTTTGATGATTTCATACTTCAGTATATGTTTGATGGTTTCATATTTCAGTATATGTTTTGATGGTTTCATACTTCAGTATATGTTAGATGGTTTCATACTTCAGTATATGTTGATGGTTTCATACTTCAGTATATGTTTGATGGTTTCATATTTCAGTGTATGTTTGATGGTTTCATACTTCAGTATATGTTTGATGGTTTCATATTTCAGTATATGTTTGATGGTTTCATACTTCAGTATATGTTTGATGGTTTCATATTTCAGTATATGTTTGATGGTTTCATATTTCAGTATATGTTTGATGGTTTCATACTTCAGTGTATGTTTGATGATTTCATACTTCAGTGTATGTTTGATGTTTTCATACTTCAGTATATGTTTGATGGTTTCATATTTCAGTATATGTTTGATGGTTTCATACTTCAGTATATGTTTGATGGTTTTATATTTCAGTATATGTTTGTTGATGTAAAGATTTCATGTGTGCTTAATGGTGTCATGAGTGTTATTTGATGGTGACATGGGTGTGTGTTTGACGGTGTCATAATCTTTAGTGTGTTTGATAGTGTCATAATTAAATGTGTGTTGGATGGTGTCATGACTTACTATGACTGATTTGTGTCATGATTTAGAGTGGGTTTTTTATGTCATGAGTGTGTGTTTGACGGTGTCATTATTAAATGTGTTTGATGGTGTCATGACTTACTGTATTTGATTGTGTCATTAATTAGAGTGTGATTGTGTCATAACTTCAGATATGTTTGACGGTTACATAAAATAGAGTGTGTTTATTGGTGTCATGATTAAATTGTTTGGTGGTATCATGTCTTACTATGATTGATTTTGTCATGAATAAGAGTGTGCTTGACGTCATGAGTGTGTGTTTGATATTGTAATCATTAAATGTGTTTAATGGTGTCAGATCTTACTGTATTTAATTTTGTCAGGATTTAGAGTGTGTTTGATGTCATGAGAGTGTGTTTGAGGGTTTCATAATAGTGTGTTTGTTGGTGTTATGATTAAATGTGTTTAATGACGGTGTCATGACTTACTATGTTTGATTATGTCATGAGTAAGTGTGTGTGTTTAATGGTATCACGATTTAATGTGTGTTTGAACGATATCATGATTAAATGTGTGTTTCATGGTTAAATGTGTGTTGAACGGTGTCATGCTTTGATGTGTGTTTAATAACGGTGCCATGTTTGGCAGCGTGTTTAACGGTGTCATGATATAATGTGTGTTTAACGGTGTCATGATATAATGTGTGTTTAACGGTGTCATGATATAATGTGTGTTCAACGGTGTCGTGATATAATGTCGGTTTAACGGAGTCATGAATTGCAGCGTGTTTAACGGTGTCATGATATAATGTGTGTTTAACGGTGTCATGATATTATGTGTGTTTAACGGTGTCATGATATAATGTGTGTTCAACGGTGTCGTGATAGAATGTGGGTTTAACGGAGTCATAAATTGCAGCGTGTTTAACGGTGTCGTGAATTGCAGCGTATTTAACGGAGTCATGAATTGCAGCGTGTTTAACGGTGTCGTGATATAATGTGTGTTTAACGGTGTCATGATATAATGTGTGTTTAACGGTGTCATGATATAATGTGTGTTTAATGTTTAATGGTGTCATGATATAATGTGTGTTTAACGGTGTCATGATATAATGTGTGTTTAACGGTGTCGTGATATAATGTGTGTTTAACGGTGTCATGATATAATGTGTGTTCAACGGTGTCGTGATATAATGTCGGTTTAACGGAGTCATGAATTGCAGCGTGTTTAACGGTGTCGTGATATAATGTGTGTTTAACGGTGTCATGATATTATGTGTGTTTAACGGTGTCATGATATAATGTGTGTTCAACGGTGTCGTGATAGGATGTGGGTTTAACGGAATCATAAATTGCAGCGTGTTTAACAGTGTCGTGAATTGCAGCGTATTTAACGGAGTCATGAATTGCAGCGTGTTTAACGGTGTCGTGATATAATGTGTGTTTAACGGTGTCATGATATAATGTGTGTTTAACGGTGTCATGATATAATGTGTGTTTAACGGTATCATGATATAATGTGTGTTTAACAGTGTCATTATATAATGAGTGTTTAACGGTATCATGATTTCATGCGTGTTGAATGGTGAGATGCTTTGATGACGTTCATTATATTATTTACTAATGTTCACAGAAAGACTGTTGTACTTTGCATTGGATTTGCATACTTTTTATTATATATCTTTTAATTTGATGATAATTAAAGTTTATAAAGTTATTCATCAATATATTACTAAACAAGAGCCATGTCAACATGGCCATCCCTCGCCGAATGTGTTTGCTCATTGGAAGAATGTGTATGTAGTAGAGCAGATAATTCAATTTTAAGAGGTCTTTTGGTAATGAAAACTGATGGCTGAAGTGATTACAGATTTGAAACCTATATGAATACTGATGGTTGAAAAAAAACAAAGGGCAATAACTGAAAAAATAATGCAGGGTAGGTTATCATTCTTGTGTGTTGCACCCCTCCTCAGTAAAATCTATCCACCTATGAAGTTTCAAGTTGATACCTCGATAAGCTCCAGACAAAATAGTATGAAAAAAAAACCAAAGGGCAATAACTCAAATATTTTATAGGGAGGAGTTATCATTCTTGTGCACAGTATTCCTCCTCAATAAGATCTATCCACCTATGACATTTCATGTTGACATCTCAAACACTTTTGAGTTATGCTCCACTCAGGTGAAAAATTAAGTATGAAAAATAACAAAGGGCAATAACTTGAAAAAAATATGAAAGGTAGAGTTATCATTCTTGTGCACTGCACACCCCCTGAGTGAGACCTATGCACCTATGAAGTTTCATGTTGATATCTCAAAGGCTTTTTGAGTTATGCTCTGGACAAAAATTAATTTTGAAAAATAACAAAGGGCAATAACTCAAAAATTATGCAGGGTAGAGTTATCATTCTTGTGCACTGCACTCCTCCTCAATGAGGTCTATCCACCTATGAAGTTTCAAGTTGATACCTCAAATACTTTTTGAGATATGCTCCGGACAAAAATGTCGGACGGAAGGACGGACGGACGGAAGGACAGACGGACGGAGACTATTTCTATATCCCCCGCCGCCTTTCGGCGGGGGATAATGAGTTATGTTATAAACAGTCTGATAATTATTCATTTATCCATATCAACTCAGTAACAAAACACTTCAATATAATAACATAGCTACACTTAATGTGCACGCTTATGGAATTTGCACCACATTCTCTTGTCTTTTCAACTGGTTTCTGGTTTTAGTAATTATGTAGTCTTTTTACTATAGTTTGTGTATTTACTCATTCATATCTGTCATATGTCTATATGTATCTGTAGCACATCTTTTATTCTGGACGAATAACATAATAATCGTATGCTTCTTGACATGCATTGATACAATACTTATGTACCGCATGTAACTCTTTACAGAAGCTATTAAAAGCGAATCCAGTATGGCATCCTCGCTCTACCCCGTATCACATATATGTACTAAATGTCTTGTCAGAAATATAAACAACGTTGAAAACTGGGATAAAATATGAGCGAACTCAATTACTATAATAATTTAAACATGATAAGAGTGAATATCAAGTTGATTGTTTTACAGAATGACACGTATATGTAATTGTAAAGTATAAATTGATAACAGTATATAACACATTAACTACATGTGATTAAATAATGTACTAGTTATTTGTTATGATAATATCCTATCTTAATTAACCACCATTATATGAGAGGACTATTCATGTGTACATGTTTAATTTAACATACAAATACACGAGTATATCAAACCATATATCGCTTTGATTAAATGACATTCATTCAATTTCTTTGAGTGAAAAGTTACACTTACCAATGCCGAGGACAATCACTGTAAGTGAAAGATATATATCTATCCATCCATTCTTCATAGTAAATCCGATTCAAGAAAAATATTCCCTCATAACGAAAAATAAATAAATACACGCACCGTATATTATAATAAATAATAATAATACAAAAGAATCTTACGCAGATTCAATTAAATACATGCTTTAAGATTTTTTGTTGGTAATTTCTCCAAGCGGCTATTATGCAAAATTGAAAAGATGCGTAGACAAACATTGAAAAGACAGAAAGAAGAAATTATTCTTTTATAAGCTCAGTATAAAAGCATAAATCATTGTTCGTTTATAGTTGATAATAGAGCGGTATTCATGTTACGTTATATTTTGAAAGAAGAAATAACTGTCCCTTTTCGATAGCAGTCGATATAGTAATGCGATCACGTTGTGTCGGGTTTAAATACTTAGAAACCATCCAACATCGGCCGAAACAATGTAAACATTTGTTTGTTAGATTGGTGAACCCACTTATAATTTCTGATAAAATGAGGTTCTTCCATTTATTAATGGTGTTCATATTTACGAATTGAAATTCTAATTAAAAATATGGAGGACAAAGAAAGGGCATGAAATTACATGCATTAGAGAAAAATGATATTTCAATTTTGAAGATGTATTTCGTAGACTTTAAGAAATGAAAGGAAAAGTCTGATACACTTGATAAAATAGTCTTTTCAATTATACATGTACATGTTTATAGCATGGTATTCTAAGTCAGCGCTATCAATTGGCGTGAATTCTGCTATAATGTGATACCGACCGACGAGAGTCCGGCCGGTAATGTTTATCAACGCGAGTTCGGCACGTTATTTGGTATCAGACGACGAAAGTTCGAACTTTAATGTGGTATCGACAGAGTGTTATATCGACCGATGTGATTTCGACCTGTAATTTGGTAATTACATAATGTTAAACCTATATAATATGGTATTGATCGATATGAATTTGACATGTAACATGAAACTGAAAAGCATGAGCTCGACCTGTAATTTGGTATTGACCGACTGGAGCTCGACCTGAAATTTGCTATTGATCCACTGGAGTTCGACTTAAATTTGGTATTGACCGACACGAGTTCGCCCGGTAACTTACTACTGACCGACTGGAGTTCGACCTGTAATTTGGTATTGACCGACGTGAGTTCGACCAGAATTTGATATTGATCGACTGGAATTCGACACGTTATTTGGTTACAGGTATTGATCGACGGGAGTGCGATCAGTTAGTTGATATTGACCGACATGAGTTCGACCTGTAATTTGGTATTGATTGACTGGAATTCGACCTGTTATTTGGATTGACCGACTGAAGTACGACCTGTAATTTTGTATTGACCGACGTGAATTCGACCTGTAATTTGGTATTGACCGACTGGAGTTCGACCTGTAATTAGGTATTAACCGACGTGAGTTCGACCTATAATTTAGTATTGACCGACTGGAGTTCGACCTGTAATTTGGTATTGACCGACTGGAGTCCGACATGTTATTTGGTATTGACCGGCATGAAATTGGGTATTGACCGACGTGAGTTCGACCTGTTATTTGGTATTGACCGACTGGAGTTCGACCTGTAATTAGGTATTGACCGACGTGAGTTCGGCCTGTAATTTGGTATTGACCGACGTGAGTTCGACCAGAATTAGATATTGATCGACTGGAATTCGACACGTTATTTGGTTACAGGTATTGATCGACGGGAGTTCGATCAGTTAGTTGATATTGACCGACATGAGTTCGACCTGTAATTTGGTATTGATTGACTGGAATTCGACCTGTAATTTGTATTGACCAACTGGAGTTCGACTTATTATGTGGTGACGACTGGTATGGGGAGTTCAGAATGAAATGAGGTATTGACCGTCACTGGTAATTTCACGACAATCACATGAACTAGACTAACCAGTAATGTCGAGTTCAAATAAACATATTGAAGCTTGGAGACTAAACAGCAATGTGAAGCTAAAATAAACAAAGTTTGAATTGTTTCAGCTGGATTCAATTCGAGTTTATCACTTGAGATGATATACATACGTAGGATTAAATATACTTCAGTTTAAGTAAGCCAGATATAACATTCAAAGTTTACTATTTTTGGAACTCTGATGGGGCCTCAGATGTCCAGCATCGCTTGGTAAACAAAAAAAAAGTAAAATCACTTGGTGAATTATTCACGCATGCCTATGAATGAACAATAAGGCGAGGTAAACTCGTTAAACGTGGAGTATCAATTAAACTATTGTTCCTTATTGAAATAAGATGCAATAAAATATGGTAAAATGTTATCGACCCGTGATTACGATTGATTTAATGATTTTAAATTTTGTACTTTCGCACAATTAAAAAATAAACTATGAAATTAATCAATACATACATTTTGAATTCAAATTTGAATTGATAGCATTTTTTCTAATTTGTTTCAAATGACATTTTGTTTCGGGGATTTTTTTTTAAATTTGATCTATCGGGCTTTGTGAAAGTTTAATATCGATACACGATCGAATAATGTTCAAGTATAAATAGTTTTTATACAAGACAATACCGCAAGTTGTCATGCATTGTTTTTAAAATGTAAATAGTCTGTTTTAAAAATCCATCTAATAATTATGACTGAGTTTAATTCAAACAAAGTTTGACAAACTATAAAATCCGACAGTCTATACAAGGAGGTAGGTTGCCGGTTCGATCATCGACAGGGCCAGGCCGTACATAAATCATTTCACAATTTATTTTTATGGGTACTCATCTTGATTCAAGGAATAGTTTTTAAACTGGGACTGTCGTCTGCCGTGTTTGTCCAAACAGACTTATTTTTTTCTTTACAGAATGGATTTCAAATCTACAAAAATGCTGTTCTGTTAAATAATCAGAAGGTCTATAATTGTGTTTTATAATGAGTGTGGCGCCGTTATATGTCGCAACGCCGCTAAATGTCGCACTTACCGCTAAATGTCGCACCATTGCCGCTAAATGTCGCAACCACCGCTAAATGTCCCAAAATCATTTGCCGCTAAATGTCGCAATGTTAACGTTAAATGTCGTACGAATTTCCCCTACCGTTAAATGTCGCAACAATGCCGTTTAATGTCGCAAGATGTAAATTCATGTTAAAATAATGATTAAAAGTAGTATTATTTTACTTTTTACCGCTCTCATAGTTATTTTTTACTGTAATTGCCATTTAACAAAAAATATCTTTGTTTTAATTGTTTTCTTTTATGAACCTAAATATCGAGGTTTTGAGCTGCTATATAATGTAATCTTTCAATTCTCAATAGATAAGTATTTTTCTTTTGTCTCCCTTTTTCATTTATAACCCTGATTGGCAACATCTTAAAGGTATTATGATATTGTCGCTATCAGAATTCGGTTTAAGTCATTTCATTGATTTGAAGACCTTTTTTGTTGCTAGTGCTAATAGTTATACAGTCGTAAACGGGCGGTTTAAGCCCCATTTACACAGTCCCGGTTTGGTGTCCCGGTTTGCCACGGTTTAGTCAACCGGGATCAACCGTGGTAAACCGGCGATGCGATGGGCCGTTGCGATTCCGTGAAGTAAAGGGACAATCCATGGTGAACCGGAACAAACTGAGAGATCGCCACGGTTGTATTTAAATGTTTAATACAACCGGGGCTCACCGGGATACACCGGGAGGAAGCCCAAAACCGTGTTCTATCGGCTTGGAACAGGGAATTGCCGGGAAACCACCGTATCTATACCGCATCCATACCGTGACAAATCATAGTAAACCGGGATGCGTGTCAATCAATGTCCAAACGGCAAAGCCTCGGTGATGATACGATGTTGCCACGGTGAAACAGGCAGAGCTACGGTAGAGCCAGTGTACATTGAGGTCATAGGCAACAACGCTCCGGTTTGAGCCGGTAATGTCCCGGATATTGCCGACAAGTATGGTTATACAACGGTGATAGACGGTGGTGTAACGACCTCATGCCGATAACAGGAAATTTAAAGAACAGGAATATATAAACTTGAAGTGTATGTTAAACGTTGCAATATTTAATAAATTTATTTTTTGGTCTATATCCAATATTTATATTGTATAACTCTAATTTTATATGCTTTACCATTATATTTATTATATTCTATCCTACTAAAAATATTTGTTCATCCAAAAATATTTGTGTGCGATAATTTTCTATATATATATGTTCTATATTTGAAAATATATATTGTATAATTTAAAAAATTTATTGGATACAGTACTGAAAAATATTTATTCGATAATTTGAATCATAGGATAGAACACTTAGCCTATAAAATAAGCACGAATGTCTAATAAAGCGTTATCATCCTGATTGACTATAGTGTAGTGGAAATGACCAGTGTCCCTGTGAAGGTCAATGTAAATAGTGCATATGCTTAATCCTCCTTATAAATATATATGTATGTCTAAAAATGGAAAAATATTTTACAGTCTTCAGGACATACGAAAGGTGATAAAAAATAAACCGGACTGGGGCTGTCAATTGAAGAATTTTCAAACTATCACTTATTGCTATATATCACAATGAATCGGAAAACTATTTACCTAGATCGCTTAACAGACTTGTCTGCAAATATATACCGACCTGTTATTGTTCTATTGTTCTATATACAATAGAAAATATGTGAAGTCGAGAAACTCGTGCATTACACAATACTCACCGTAAACGAAGAAATTTTGAAAATAACGCTGAATTGTGCAAATTTATATGGGGGGGGGGGGGGGGGTAATGACCAATTCGAATAGGAAGAAGGGTCGATATATATTTTAAAGTACATTTCATCAAATTAATAGAAATAAATTAGCGCATACGGCTGTAAGGACCCTCATAACATATATTCCAGATTATTTGTGAGAAAAAGGAACTGGCTACTGTTTTAGCGTTGAAGTTTGTGTTTCACTTATTAATGAGTACAATAACGCACATTTAACCTTTTTTTATAGTTTGCTTTTCGGTATACCTAACACATTTGCCGAACTATATAGCTTCATAAGATACTAGTTTTCGGCATTTATTTCCACAACTATGTCTGACTTTGCACAATCCAGCATAATTTTAACAATTCTGCATTACGGGATATATACGCCGATTATATTATTGGTGCATATCGAATCAAAGTCAACTTCTGTATATACTACTTTCAGTGAGAGTATAGTTCATCTTAAGTATAAGACCGTTTTTTTCAGCTTTTTTACATTACAATTTGGATTTTGTATACCAGTACTCGCCTGTTCTTCGCAAGAATACGACTTGCGTTTCTATTCTAGACTGCGTGCTTACATGCGGTCTTAATCAAACATATGAATAACGGATGATGCTAATTAAGAATACACCGAAAGAAAATTCTTCCAAATATGAATGAAATTCTTAGAATAATTAAAATCAGCCATCATGAAAAACAACAACAACAACAAAAAAAACCCAAA